TGGAAAGGAACTATACAACCTGAGGGGGTTGGAGTTGGAGGGAAAATGTGAGAAAATGAGGGAGAGAGTGACATTATTCAAAAAGAAAGTCTCATTTGACTTATGTAACTGTAACCCCTCTGTACATTACTTTTAAAATTAAATAAATTGACTTCAGGAATTGACTTGAGGAATCTGAAGATAACTGCCTATGCCTGAAAACACCTGAATGGTTTAACTCTGATTTTATGTTATAATCAATCAGGGAGGAAACTTGAAAGGTGTCAGATCACAAGGTAATGCCAAGACGTGTAGCTCACAATTACATGGATACAACATATGGCTGGCCACTGAACCACCTGGTTGATGGTAAGCAACTTGTTTTTCTTTTCTTTGTAAATGACATTGTACAATGCTCACCTTAAAATGTCATGAGAAGCTGGCAGGACTGAATAATACAAGAGAATGCTGAGACACTGGTATATAGGAAAGGCTTATAAAAGATTACATGTTATTAAACTTTGGTGCCAAAAGCCAGTCATCTATAGTGCTACTCTGTTAAGAAAAACATTATTTTTTTCACTTTTTAAATTTTCTGATGCCTTAAGGTCCTACTTAATTCTTCCACAATGGTCTTAAGAAGAAGAAAAAACTGCACACTCCAGGTCATTTTAGGTTCAATTAAGTAAGGCTATTAAAAAATAAGAATGATATGTAGTATGTATATTATGATCAGTTGACCAGAGATGGTTATCTTGGATGTTTATGATTCCAAGCTCTGTTTTCTCAATATCACATTTCTCCTATGAAAAAGTAGAATGGAGAAGTACAAGTACAGCAGTATCTATGTGCTGATAGGGACGATACATAAAACAATACCCTGGCATTCCAGACACTAGGTAATAAGCAATGAATAAAACAGAGTACTTCTAAGGAGACTATGTTCAATTGGGAAGGGGAATAACATATGAATAACTACACCAGATGAGTAGGTGGTAAGAAGAAAAATAGGAATATATGTATGGGGGAGATGTCATTTATATTGTTGGAGTAATCTTTTTAATTAAGTCACTTTATTCCTGGGGATGTAGGGCAGAGAACCAATAACTTAGAAGTATTCAGAATAAAGTAACATTATATAGACACTCTGGGGGAAGAGTTTGTTATCATGTTGTGATGCAAAAACAAAAACTAATGTTTGGAAAGGGACAGAACAGTGATAACACCAGATACTGAAGTAGTAGGGCATTGGAACACACTGGGTGGTGAGTGCATGGTAAGCTCCCGGTGTTCAAGAAACATAGATGATAATTATACCTGTATTGTAAGTGAAAGGCCTGGTGACGGAGATACAATTTGTGAGGAAATGGTGGAGCAAGGAAGACCAGTGGAAGTCCTATGATTTTAGTCTAGACACTGAATATAGCACAAACTTGAGAAATATAAGGAAAAGGCTAGGTAGAAGGGGGTAAGATGTTGAAGGGATGACACAGATCAAGATGCAGTATATATATATATATATATATATATATATATATACTTTGATAAATGGCAATAAATTCATAACCTAAAAGTTAAGAAAAGTGAGGGGAAGGGAGGCATGGGTTGGGAGGGGTGAATGTTGAAAGGGGCAACATTGATCAAGATGCACACTGTATTCATAAACTGTTTTGGTTAATGGCAACTCGTTTGTACAACTACCTAAAAACAATAAAAATATTCCCCAAAAAGGTGCTATGAAAAGAAATAAAAGAGTAGTGAGCAAATTGTGGATATATTTTAAGGGGTAAGGCATGACTATTTTTCTTATGGGTTGAATGTAAGTAGGAAGAAGGTATCCGGATGATTAGATCTAATATTTGGGTATTTAGAGGTCAGTAAATTCCATGTAACTAAAAGACTCTTCCAGCAAATTCCCAGATGAACATCAGTGTGAAGCCCACTTGATTTAGGATTAAAGCATCATCTTCCAAGGAGTAATGAAGGAGAAACATTGGTAAAGTGTTAGTGAATCTCAGTCATTTGGAAGATAAAACTCATATTTTTCCTGACATGAAACAGACAATGAAAGACTTTCATTTTGTTATCTGAATGAAGAAAAGGAGAAAGTAAAAGAGCTAGTTTTCTCAATGACATTTCTATCAAGAAGAAATAGATACCTTAAAATTATCAAATAATTACCAAATTTAAAATTAAATAATTCAAATAGTAATCTGTGAATGGTTCTAATAATTTTTAAATATGGATATTAAGACTCTATGGTAGTCATTAAAACAAGAACAAAAAATGCCTCATCTAACAACCAAAAGGACAGTTAGAAAATTCTCCTGCAATATGTATTTTCAGGTCTCCCAGTTCAGGTTATTAACAGATGCATATTTGGAACTTTCAAAATACTGTACACAAACATATTAAGTAAGACTCACAACTTAAAATGCTTTCTAGTCAGGTGCTAGTGATTCGCACCCCTAATCCTCGCTATTCTGGAGGTTGTGATCTGAGGATTGCCTTCCAAGCCAGTCTGGGCATGAAAGTCTATGAGAATCTTATCTCTAACTAACCACCAAAAAACTGGAAGTGGATCTGTGGCCCAAAGTAGTATGGTGCTAGCCCGGAACAACAACAAAAAATTCAGGGATAGTGCCCCAGCCCCAAATTCAAGCCCCAAAACTGCAAAAAATAAAAACTAAAACAGAAACCATCTTTCTTTGGCAGTATGGATTAGGATCCCAGGTAACTGATAATATAGTACCTGCAAAGAGACCACAAAGCAAAAATAAAAGTACATGAAAACTTACCACACATATTATACCCACACAAACAGACACACACCTATACACAGATGTATACACCATACCAATGTGACTTTGTGGCTTAGATTTCAAGTAAACAATAGAAGAAACAAAAAATCGGAGGGGTAACATTGATCAAGATGTGTTATATTCATAACCTGACTTGTGGGATTGAAACTCCTCTGTACATCTACTTAAAAAATAAAAAAACAAGACACTTTGGATGATGTTGCTGTAGTCTCAAACTAGAGTGGTATCTCTGAGCTCTGTGTTTCATAACTGATGTATTTGAGGGAGGGAATGCAAATGGTGGTATCTTTTCCTTATCAATGTAATGAAAGCTTGCCACTTTTAGCCCACCAAATGCCATTCCGAATGGAAGGAGTATTTATCCTCATGTAAGAAGACAAATCACTGCTTAGAAGCCTAAACAGATCTCAAATTTCCTAACAGCTTAAATCACAAAACTGCAGGGAAAAATAGTTCACTGCATTATTGTTTAATTTCCTGACCTCCAAAAGAAAAACAACCTTATATACTTGAGTACTCTGGTGAGTTCCAGCTTAGTAAGTGCTAATATTATTTCTAAATACCAGAGAGCAAAGACAGGTGATTTTGTTCAGAATATACTAGTGGATGAGGTCTCTTTTACCTGGAATGAGTAAGTAGGTCTGTTCATAGATCTAGATGGGCCATCAGATCTATTTTATATCTCTTGAAATGATGTTCAAAAATGTCAGGGTGACTCATCATAGCCTTTTCCTAAGAAATTATTGCTAGGTCCTGAGACAAACAAGCAGGTAAAATACATGATCTAAGCTAGTTAGAAACCTGAGTATCCATGGCTCTATTGTGTGATGATGACTTTGATGACTTTCTAAGTTAGAGATTCCAACCATAGCATCTGCATTGTTGGCATTATCTCTCATTACCACAGCCATTGTATGGGAATGAATCAAACAGTGAAATGTAGGTATTGAATTATTCTTCTTTAATGAATAAGGAAGATCTTTATTTTTCAGATTTTTTTTTTTTTTTGCTGGTCCTGAGGCTTGAACTCAGAGCCTGGGTGCAGTCCATGAACCTTTTGCTCAAGGCTAGCACGCTACCACTTAAGCCACAGATCCATTTCCAGCTTTTTGGGGGGTTTAATTGGAGATAAAAGTCTCATATACTTTCCTGTTTGGATTGGCTTTGGACTGTTATCCTGAGATCTCAGCTTCTTGAGTAGCTAGGATTTTAGGAGTGAGCCACCTGCACTTGGCCTCTCAGTTTTATCAATGCACAAATATATATATATATATATATATATATATATATATATATACACACACACAACATAAAAAGATGCTTGTGTACAACTGAACACACATGATTTCAAATTGGACAAATACTGTTAGGTAAAAAACAGACTAGTCTTCTGAGTAGTATCTCACTTAATAAGTCATGGTCTGAAATATGGATATATCATATACAAGACTATTACTGAATATAGTAAGTCATTAACATTATAAACCTAAGCACTTTATTATAATATACAGAATGTGTAATATGAGAGATAAGCAAACAAGAATACAATTCGGGTCAAAAGAAACAGATTTACCTTAAAACAATATCAGCAACTGCCTACCAAAAACAAGCAAACAGACAAATAATACAAACTAACAATTCAGCTGCATCTTCTTGCTTTACTAGATCCCTTTGTATAAAAACAAGTAGGCTCTAATTACCAGTAAGAGCTAAGAGTTTGAAGGTGAAAATATTTACTAATGCCTTATCCACAGTAACATAAACACTGCTGATATAAAACTCAGGGCATTTCTTATCAAGCATTGTAGCCTCCTCCTTTGTTTCCCCTTCCCATCCCTTCCCATCCTTCCCCTGCCCCCCCACCGGATCCTTCCTGCTCCCCCTCCCCCCCACCAAAGTTGTAAAGTTCATTTTCGACATAACGACTTGTACATCTAATTGCTAGATAAGAAATGTACTCATTATCTTGCCCATGTAATTGTAACCCCTCTGTACAGCATTTTCACAATAAAAAAAATAAATAAAATAAATTTAAAAAATAATCACAAAAAAGAGAAAAAAAATAAAACTCAGGGCAGGGAAAGAAGTCTAACCAGGGACAATGGAAGGCATAGATATTATACACAGTTTGAGACATGGAAAAGTCCAACGAGTGAATGTTTGTGAACAGTGAGAAGCAGCTTTCCTGAAATGACTGAATGAAGCAAATGAACATATGGTCTTTATTACTCCAATGTCTTTTTCTGGTCTACCTCTGGAAACATGCTAGACATCTGAACAGCCAAAATATTTTTTACACATTTATAAAAAAGCACTATTTAGGTAACAAAATGTCTAGCTGCATAAAAAAATCTAAGGGAGTAATGAAAAGGTGAATGGCATTTTAAAAACAGCTGACATTTTCCTTTGTTTTACAGGAATTTTACACATAATAGTACTACCTTCAAAAATTACAATATTTTACAGATACTAAATTCAATGACAATATTAGATGAGATCTTCTGCAACTGTGGTGTCAAAAATTTGATAGTAAATTTGGTGCTCATTTCCATTTGTGACATTATATGACTTGATAAAACATTCTAACCATGGATATGCATCTACAAATAGAAAAGAAAATGCTATTTAGTCAGTAAAGTGTTTAGTGTTACAAATAACTCTTAGCAATTTGAATTTTTTCTCCACACAAAAGTAATTAAATATTTGACAGCAAAGGTAGTAATAATTTGTATGCTACGCCTTGATAACTACCTATTGATCTCTTGTTTTTTGTTTTCTTCCCCCCCCCACCCCCTCCAATTTGAAAAGCAGCTGAACCAGAACTTCTAATCAGCTTGATGCCTGATGCCTGGCCAGCTGGACCTCCCAGCAGGTAGCAAGGACAGAGTAATGCTGGCAGCCACAGATGCCACACCTAAACACTGGTTTTCTTCACAGTCTACCTATAACGTATTTCCAGAAGATTTTTTTTTTTTTTTGCTTTTCTTCAACTTCAAGTCTAAAAGACCTTTGATATAGCCCTCAATTTTGGCAAGATTAACGATACTCTCCCACACTGCTGGCAGAAATGATATATTTTTGAAAACAATTTGGCAGTATATGGCAAAAGCTATCAGGCCCAGTGAATGTTTTTACTCTTACAAACCTACCTAAATAATTCAAATAGAAAATTTAAACTAAGCTTAAAAATAAGGTGATTTTTGTTAAATCTTGCTAAGTTTTGCTAAATTCTGTTACAGATGAACAAAAACTATCATTTTGGGACTGCTCTGTGGCAGTCTGTACAAATTCATAGGAAGACATGTAGAAACAGAACACTGACATCTGTAAAATAAACACATGTCAGATGTGAATCTGTAGGTAGAAAATTCATCAATAAATTAAGCTAGACAGATGGGAGTTTAATATAGAAAATGGTACTTGTCAAAATGCCATCTCTTGTTGGTACAATGTCAACAAATATCTTGTGCTTGTGACCAAAACTACCGCTCCTTCATTTATTTCAAAATACTACAAACTCCTTTTATTCATTTCTGTCTCAGACCTCAGTAGGTATCAGAGGTATTGCTGACTATTTGACAAATTAGATGTTAAAATTTCAGATTCTAAAGTGAAGAATTAGATATATGTAAATAGTTGAAATATTACTGCCTACCAATTTTTGTTCCTGGAGGACAAAGCATATCCATGATCGTACCCAAACTTCTCTGAAGATCATCATCATTTAGGATATCTGAGGCTGGAATCTGGAAAAATTTATCCTTGAAAAAGTTATGAAGGAAATGGAATTAGTAAACTTAATCTTTCTAAAATCATGATAAAAAGTATTTCAACATTATGTGATTTGTTAATCTAAAAGATTTCATTCTTTTAAGATGGAACAATACATACACCAGAGTGCAAGTCTAAACTATAAAATATAATTTACTACTTGAACCCTAAAACAGCTTTGATGCACACGTACATATAAAGTCATGTTTAATTCTTTGACTTAAAGACATAATACCATACAGGATGTACTTATTTAGTTTTTCTCCTCTGTTTTAAGTTTCTAAGAAGGAATTTTCCTTGTTTAGTTAACTCTACCCCCTATCATAAAGATGGCACAGGACAGGGCCTCAGTAAATATCAAATAAATGATTAAATGAGTTATGAAGGCAGAAGAAAAAAAATGCTCTGTATATTTGTATATATTTTCCAATACACACAGAATCTAAGCCTTATGCCCTTTGCATTTGGGAACAATCTTAAAGTCATTCTGGGAGGTGATTTTGGTTGGTCTAACCATGTGGTTTAGAGTGAGGGAGTGTGGGGGATAGTGTTAGCTTGATCACAGAAGGGGATGAAGGCAGTTCTTCCCAAAAGGCAATGATATATATATATATATATATATATATATATGATATATACACACATATCTATGTATCTATATACACACACGTGAGAAAGTCCCAATAAAAGCTTCTATTTCACCAGGGTTTGGGTTAAGCTTTCTTGATTGAGAATATTCTATTTATATTGCTACATGCTGTTGTAGGAAAATTAACACTATAATTCTATGTGGAGATTATTTCATTAACTATTAAAACTGAATTATCAAAACTAAGAGAAGCGGGGCTGGGAAGGTGGCTCAGTGGTAGAGCACTTGCCTTGCATGCATGAGGCCCTGGGTTCGATTCCTCAGCACCACATAAGCAAAAAGAAAAAAAGCCGGAAGTGGCGCTGTGGCTCAAGTGGTAGAGCGCTAGCCTTGAGCTGAAGAGCTGAGGGACAGCGCCCAGGCCCAGAGTTCAAGCTCACAACCAGACCCCCCCAAAAACAACAACAACAACAAAAAAAAAACTAAGAGAAGCCTAGAGGGCTTATAAACTTAAGACAAGTGTCAAAAGTGACAACAGTCTTATGGAATTCCCCCTATCTTGATAGGATAATACCCATTTCCCTGATAAAGTAACTTCATTTTCTCTAATGCGAAATATGAAGGTGAAGGAAGCACAAGGAGGGATGAGTAAAATAATGCCCACGCAGTTTGACCCTGTAACTTTTCTTTGGCTCTGGAGTAGAATTTCTGCAAGGTCAAGAAAATCACTTCTCAAATTTTTATTCACTTTTTTTTCCAAACATTAATATACCATTACAAATGGTATATTAAGAGAGATAAATACCAACATATTAGATTCATGTTTTTTTAATTCGTAACTCACCTTAAATACTTTTAGGAATAAAGAAGGAATGAATACATTAAATATTTTAAAAATATTGAGCCTTTTTGGGCTGCTACTGATCTGTGGCATGTGCTATATTATTAACTACATGATTTAAAAATGCCTATGTAGTAATAACATAAAAAGGAAGTCAAAGCCTCAGAAGATCACTTCTTGGTGCTGCCACTATTTTAAGTTTCAGACTAGATCTTACTTTTTTTTTGCATAGTTATTAAGGCACAGAACTCACGGCAGGTCTAGTAGCATTCAGAGTAAGGAACAAGCTAAGTTTATCTGAAATAGGATTAGCATCTTCAAAGTAATTTTATAAAAGAGAAGCCACTAGTGTCCTAAATGAACAAGAAATTATCAAATAACAAAAACATATTTCAAAATACAACTTGATTTTATTTAGGAAGATCTTAACTAGCTTACTTACAGAATCCATGAGATAAGCTTGTAACACACCTGTTCCATCATCAAAAGTGAATGTCATAACAAATACATACTGCAGGGGTACAATGCCCAGGGCTAGTGAAGGAAACAAGTCATTCTTGAGTCAGCTTCTTGATTGGCATTCAGAGTTATTATAGTAATGTTAAAATTGACTTATTTTTTTTCTAGCATTCTTTTTTTGTACTTTTTTATTGTAAAAATGCTGTACAGAGGGGTTACAGTGACATGAGCAAGGTACAGGGTACATTTCCTATTGAGCATTGTTGGGTGCCAGTGCTCTTTAAGCAGAATCCTAGGCCCAGTTCCAGCTCTAATGTGTCACTACAGGAGAAAGGGATAATTTTGCTTTGTTGTATTTTTAGACAGCTCTCACTTCATAGTGTAGACTGGCCTCCAACTTGTGATCCTTCTGCCAGAGCCTGGCAGGTGCTGAGATTACAGGCCTTTACTACCACATCCATCACTTAATTAAGTATCCTTTAAGCTTTCCTTGTAGGTCATAAAACCCTAATAGAAAGAACTGTTTTGGTTGCCTTTGTGTCCTCTACTTCAAAAAAAAATGACTTACTTTATTGTATCTGGAAAATTTTTAAAAAGGAATATATCAAAAATGTTACAACTTTTTTCAGTATCAACTTAATAAATTCACATTGCAAATTCCTTTTGGAACATTGGCTGTATTTACTTAGGAGTAATATCTCATGACTTTATAATCAGTTTTTCTTTGATTGGATATGAATATAGTTTTATATTATTTAATGTGAGTTGATATCTTTATAGAAACCATAAATTGACTCATAAAATGTGACTCATTAAAATATCAGAATCTTAAAAAAACTAGCAGATAGTTAGACACATGGTGCCTCTCCCTTCATAGCTATTATTTTTAAGGTATAATTTGAATACACAAAAATGCCAGAATCTAGGCTTTCCTAATGTAGTAAGAAGAATAAAGAATCAGAGATGCTAAATCCTATGACAATACAAAGGTTCAGATGAACACCTTTGTCTTTAGAAGACAGCATGTTTACAGAATGTTATAACAACTTCCATGTATAGAACCTATATTCAATCAATACTAAGAAGGCATGTAAATATGAAGCATGAATTTCAGCATTTAATGTTGTTAATATATAGATTCTAATTTTCAGACTTCAAACTGTCTTCAAAGGTTAAAAACTAAACAAAAACCAAGAAGGATGAACTTAAATTCCTTGCTGAATAACCACATAGACAAGAAAAATTCTATTATAGATGTGACAGGAAGAATACCTTTGATATAAAGATTCATGCAAAAATAATATAAGATTTCACTGGGCCACAAACAAAATATGAAATAGCAGGATCATATAGCCATACGTAAAAGGAAGAAAATATAACTAAGTATATAAGTAAATATTTATACAATAAAATTTCAGTCTAGTAATATGAAACTGGTTGTCCAATTTTAGGGAACTAGTTATTTTTACTATATTTTAAATCATCAACTGTATTAGTAGATCTCAAACTTTGAATACAGCTGTTGGAAAAAAAAAAGGAACACCAGCAGAGTGGAATGTTACTGAGAGAAAAAAAACTTTCAAAGAATGTAGTAAAAGTATCAAGAGAAATGAGAGTGCCTGCAGAAAGATCCAAAGGTTCAATGAAAGACAACAGATATGTCAATGTTCAAAGCATATGTATCTTTTAGACAGCAAACAGATGTGACCTGTCGCTCAAAGAGAATCTATATTTATAATCAATGAAAACAAGTCATTGAATGTTAAAATATGTATTATTACTACAAATACTGGTAGATAAGTGATTCTGCAAGTATTTTAAACAGATGGTTTCTTAGACTCACTTTAAAAATAGTTTCACTTATAAAAGGTTAAAGTAGCTGTCTAATGTTTTCACAAATAGTGAAATATGTAACAGTAAAGACATGATGTAAAACTGTAGTACATGGAAATTTTGCTAACCTTCGGCCACAGAATAAGGAATCCATGATGTTTTATTGGTGAGAGAATTTAGATTTTGTATTGTCCGCAAACAAGAACAATTTTTACATCTGAAATTAATAAAAGAAAAAAATAATAAAATATTTTAGATGATGTAGTTTCATTGTTATAGTATTTTTTGCTGTTTAAGCACATATAATTTTATGAAGTAAATTATTATTATTACTATACTTAGGTGCTGGTAGATCATACCCATTCCCCTAGCCACTCCAGAGACTGATATCTGAAGGATAGAGGCTCAAAGCCAGCCCAGGAAAAATAGACTGTTAGACGCTATCTCCAATTAACCAGGAAAATGTCAGACTAGAAGTGTGGTTCAAGATGTGGAGGATTGGCTATGACAAAGAAAGACAGAGCAAAGCCCTATGTCTAAGAGTTCAGCCCAGCGAAACTTTGTGAGAATACTGTACTGTTTATTATTAGATAGGAAAAACATCAAAATTTAGATTAAGTTTTCTATCAAATGCCTATCACTTTCTTACCATATCAAGTCAAAGAGTCAGAAATCAAACCATTCTAAATTGGGAACTGTTTGTACATACTAGCATGCAACTTCAGTAAGTATCTGTTGAACGTATAGTGACAAGCAAGATAAAACATTAAAATTTTAGGTTTCAATTTCAGAAGTTCTCCAAGTTAGAAACATACCCATAGTAGTACACATTTCCTTGTATAAGAAATGGTACTGAGAGATCAAGGAGTTCCAGGTCTTCCTGGCCAGATCTCACGGGAATTACACTGTGAAACTTGTTGGATAGTTTAAAAATTTCACCGAGTGTTCCACCTATTAAAAAAGAAGAAGTAAACCCTGGTAGTACAAATATCATGTCAAAGAGATTCAGTACCTATTAAGACACAACATAGTAAACACTGAAGAGACTGACAAGAAACTTAATGGTTTCAAGGCAGGTGCTCTACCACATGAATGTTGTGATAGTTCTTTTTGCTTTCATTGTGTTTTGGATAGTGTCTTGTGTTTTTTCCCTGGGGCTGGACCTGAACTGTGATCCATGCAGTTAAACCTCTTCTGTGCCTGGGAATACAGGTATGTTCCAGGTCTTGTTAACTTTTTGCCTGAGATACTTTCCAACTACAATTTTCCCAATCCACCTGGGCAGTTCTACAAAAGAGGTCCACCTGGCCACATGCTATGTCTTTTGCAAAAATTTTCTTCGAAAGTGTGGCCTGTCTGAGATCTCTTGAAAGTTGTATTTTTTTTGAGCTGAAGATTCTATTTTAACAAAATTCAGCTTATCAATTGTTTCATGTACCATGCCATTAATGCTCAATCTACAAAGTTATCATTACAGATAAGGCCATAAAGATCTTCTCTTATGCTTAGAAGATTTATCTAAACTCACATTTAATTTTCATTGAAAACCCTGTTATTACTGTAGACATATTTATTTATTCAGTAAATATGTGCTGAGAGCCAATTACATGCTAGGTCTATTTTTCTAGAGATTGATGATACATAGGTAGAAATAAAAACAATGTATCCTGTCTTTAAGGAGCTTACATTCTAATAGACAAATCAATGAACAATAAGAAATAAACACATATAAAAAGAAATGTAAAAAATATAGATGGAAATAAAAAAATTCTGTCTATATAGCTAATTCTCTTCTTCAGATTGTCAACTTACCCTGAAGAATGACCTTAAAAATTTCTTTATATATGTATATATCCAAGATATTAGCTGTTTGTCTAGAAAAACATAGACAATATTTCATGTTTTACAAGTGCTAGTATATGTTGGTAAGGTAAAGGAACAAAAGACATATGTGTGTACACACACACACACACACACACACATACACACACACACACACACACACTAAAAGAACTTCACTACATTATCGGAAGGCAGTATTTGCAGCAAAGGCTGAAAACAAAACAAATACAAAGATACTAATTAGAGTAGTTCCTGGCAAATTGTAAGTTCTGGCACTTAAAGAAGAAACTATGTTCATAAAAATGAAACTTCAAACATATGTGTGTTTTGTCACTTATTATTATGTATTAATTCTAGAATAATACATGTCAGCAATAAAATAATACCTTATGATAAAGGTAAGTATATTAATAAAATTAAGCAAAATATTTCTCTAATGCAAATTAAATTACAGAGAGCTAAAGAAAAAGCCTTAAGGAAAATAATGAATCATTAAATCTGGCATGAGAAAATATATGGTGTATATATAAAGTGTCAAAATGGGAAGAAAACTGAAAAATATATAGTAAAATGCATTTCTTTTAGTACTTGTCATGCTTTCATTACTTATGTCAATAGTCCAGTCTTTAGTTATCAGTAAGATGAGTTTCATGCTATTTTTATGAAACAACAGTGACATCCAGAGGCCAAAACAACTGCTGTAAGCAGAAATCAGCCTTGCAACTGCCACTTAAGTTCATCTGGGAACTGACAGGGTTGCAGGAAGGAATCCAACAAGAACAAATGTAAAGGTAAGTTCAAGATGATTTAGTGTATACTTTGAAAATGAAATTCAGATAAATCTCTGTGTGTATGTGCATTTAAATCCAGATGACAGAATGTATTCTATCTTGGACTATCTAGAGTATTTTTGCTTTCTCTGGACCAGATTGTCTGTAAAATATTCTTAACAGTAATTAATTTTTTAATATGCATAATTAATATTGTAAAACAAATAAAAAATACCAAGTATCTTACCTTCGATTAAAATTAGACATTCACTTGAAAGAGGAAGAATACCATCATTTTTCACAAAGTGCACAGCTACTTTTCGCCCTCCTTGATCTTCAGTGCTCCATATTTTTGAGTCATATAATAATGTATTTTGCAGTCTGGTATCTGGGGTCTTAGTTGAAGCATTTTGAAGAATTATATTTAAGTTGTCTTCATGTGGAACTTCTTGCCTAACATCATTGATAATGGTATGAGAAAACAACTTTACTATAATCTTAAAAAACTTCAATTTAACAAATTATCCAATTAAAAAATACCATCTGAAAGAAATTTTATTCAATATATTTGATAATTTTGTCTAAGTAAATCTGTCAGTAAATATAATGACCACTAACAATTTCAAAGCCTGGAGACTTACACCTGCTTTTTTCTTTTTTCCAGTTACTCTCATTTATATAGGATAGCCTATTTAAACCACATTAACTTCCATTTCCAGAAAAAATTATTAATTTTAAATAGCCATATAGATAAAGTACCACAGAACAAAACTAGAAGCATTTAGGTCAAAGTCTAGTTTCTGTTGCAGTTCATTTACCAACCATCTGTGCAACTAGGTAATCCCTTAAAATCTCTGAGTTGCTCTCTTTATTTGTTGAAATTTGGTTTTTCTTTTTTGCTTGTTTTAAAAAAGCTACTTGGTTTTAAAGAACTTAATAAATTAACATTTGATTGTATTTCAAGAAGAATCTAAAATCTTCATCTATATACATATGTGTATATATATATATAAGCATGCATATATATTAATTAATATATATTACCTACTTCAAGATAAAGTGGGTAGAAGACAAGTTTCTCACTTTTTTTTGTTGGCTGTAGAACTTGAACTTAAGGCCTGTGCACTATCTTTGAGCCTCTTTGTGCTCAAGGACAGAGCTCTACCACTTGAGTTCACAGCTCCACTTCCAATTTTTGGCTGGTTCACTGGAGATAAGAGTCTCACAGGGAAATTTCTGCCAGGGCTGGTTTCAAACCCCAATCCTTAGATCTCAGCTTCCTGAGTAGCTAGGCTCTCAGGCATGAGCCAATGGTGCCTGGCTTCTCTTGTTTTTTTAAAAAGAGACTTGAAGAATAAAATTGTATTACACTTAAATTTTGTAGAAAGAAAATATGTACTTTAATGTTTGTAGATATTCACAATAATATATAAATACACAAAGATATGGAGATGTGGGGACATATTTATACATTGTGGCACACTATAGTGAATGCTTGGATTCTACTAGCTAAATATATATATCCATCAACATCTATATTTTCCAAAACATTTCATATATTTAGAGGAAAGACAAGCAATTTGCATTAAAAAGGAATTCCAAATAATTTTCTGAATATTTTTCAAACACAGCACATAAGTAGTAAAGTCACCAAATAGTACTAGAAGTTCACTTATATAATCACATATTAATTGATGTTTAGAATAAATACTTCCCCGCAATGAGAAATACATAGAAATGAAATTTTAAATGGCACTTGTAATATTACAATTTTTTCTGGGAGAGTGTATTTCTAGCAATGCTTCTGTATCATTAAACATTTAATTATCATTAAATATTTAACATTTAAATGTCTAAACATTGTTTAATGATATTAAACAATTAAACTACCTAGAATTCCTTAATAAGATCAATTAATAGAGGCTCGTATTTATGAGTATTTTTATGACATATAAGACTATCCAAATATATTCAGAATCACTTTTTCAGAGTTATCAAGGGTACATCTGAAAATAGCATGCATTTTCATTTAATAGTACTAAGACCGAATTAGAAGCAGAGACCCTCTAAGATTTTCTTACTTTCATGTTATCTCCTAATTATTCTTTTAAAATATTATACATGAATTCATAATGTACTCATGCTCTGGACTTAAAACTGTATTTTCATGAACACACATATATGAATACAAATAAATAATGTGGCATGAAAACTTCTTTTTCAACTTAGAAAATACTTACAGTGAATAACATTTAGGACAATGAAGTTTAACAGACTGAAAAAGCCTTTCTGGTTTATAGGATCTCAACTTTGCTCGGATTCGATATTGTTGAGGAGCCTTTTGTTTCAGAATGGCACATAAAGGTGTTTTCTCCAAATACTGATGATCTGTAAGTACTATAAAATATTCTAATATTAAAGCAGAATAAATGATAATCTATGAGTCTTAGTATATTTATGACTCCTCCCAAACTGAATATATGCTATAAAATCTAATTAATTTAAGCCTTGTGAACTGTTAATTTCATGAACACTCAAAACATACAGAAGATACCCAATGAATCTACTCAATAAATGCTAGGCAAGTTGTATAAGGAAGAATTTAATTTAGAAGTGTGTACTAAGAATTTTTACACGAGACTAGCAGAGATTTGCTGCCCAACAGGGAAAATAGCAATTAATCTGTACTATGGAAATTAAAATGTTAACCATGAAATATTTAAAGTATTTACTGAAATACTGACCTCTGAGATATCTTTGTTAGGCAACAGTTTAAATTCTAATTAGCATTTGCTCAAAAGAACACAATAAAACATATTTTCTAAATAATATTTATCAGAAAAGCCCTTCTTCCTGATGTTTCAATTAGCAGACTTTATTGATCTATTATGTATAAAAACAGTTACATTGCTAAAAGGAATAGAGATGTGAGGGTAAACTAATTGTCATGAGGGTCCTACAGAGAGTAAAGGAGGAGGACGTTTAGGAGGTGGCAAGAGAAGAAGGAGAAATTAGTCCACACTGGAAAAAATGGTCAACAAAAGCCCTAGGGGCAGTTGCTTGGTAAACAGTCAAAAACATAGAAAGCTAATTATAAAATCAAGTTTAGGAGATTCATTAGTTTATACTAGGGTAGGTACAAAATTGCTGGAAACCTTCAGCTTCACTCAGTTATTCATTTTGCTTTTTACACATTCTAACTCCACATTGTGCCATGGCAGGATGGAATCTCAAATGGTCAAGATAATTACTTTTTGTACCTAGTTTTAATCCAACTAAAGCTTTCATTGAACTGAATACATTTTTGGTTATCTTACTGAAGTAACAGAAGGAGTGTATCTGATATACTATTATTGCTAACAAAATTTTGGGGCATATCTTAGGGAGATTTTTTTATGAGCACAATGGTATGAAGTGAATTTACTAAAACCATTATCATTAAAACCATTTACCACATTCATTAAAACCATTACCACATTCTTAAGCTAATATTATGCTTCAATGCAATTATATTTTCATAAACCTTAGGGATATATGAAAAAATATACATTGAATTAAAGACATACATCTGAATTTTATACCAGTGAAGGATGAAGAAGTTAAAAACAGTCTTATTTGTGCCCTCATGAATATCTACTATTATTATATGATGTAAGAAGGGAATGGTTAGCCAAATAAGAGCAAACTTCAAGTATTCACATTATTGCACTGAGATCTATCTCAGTAATGATATATGGCTTACTTGTAGCAGATAGTTGTTGACATCTTTCAACTTCATAGAGTGATACAGATCCAGAACCTATAACGGGGAAAAAAAAAAAGAAAACACGTAATTATTAAGTTCATTACAAATTTAATATGACACTGAAAACTGTAACATACCAAGAGAGAAACTGAGCTTCATGTTTTGGAAGGTTCAATGTTGTTATTAATCTGTAAATTCAATGTAATTCAAATTAAAATGGAATAGACTTTATTACAAAAATTGAGAAGCAGAGTCTATCACTTCAGTGGAAATGCACAAATTCTAGAAAATTAAAAAGAAAGACAATTGGAGGTTTTCTACATAGTTTCAAAACACAGTGGTCAAGACAATACTGGTTATAAAGAATGACAAATAAATCAATACAATTCAATAGAGAGCCCACATTTACACTCCTTGGCTTTCTAACAAAAGCAGCAGAAGCAGCAGGACCATTAATAGGAAAACCAAAATTCTTTTGAAGAATGTGCAAATAACTGGAAATTAGTATGACAGGGATGTATAGAGCACAAATATACTAATATTATATACTAATAAGTGATTAATAAAAAGTCCAGAAATAAAGGCATATTTACCCCCACTTGACTTCTGACAAAAACATTACAGTAATGTAAGCAGAAAAAGGAAATAAAAATGGTACAACTAGAAATTCCTATTTAAAGAAAAATGTGTACTTCATAGGACATTACAAAGAATTAGAAAAAGTACTGATATATACAACAGTACAGATAATCTCAGAAACATATAGTACGTACAAACATACATTTGGTTTCACTTATATAATGTTCTAAAACAGGAAGAGCCATATGAATTTAGTTTTATGTGCATTTATGCATTAGTCAAAACATGTAGACTGGCACATGGTAGTCTATCACTTTATTACATGTAATTTTACCTCAAAAATTAAAAAAGAATCTTAAGCAATTACTGAGGACTAGTTAACTATATTTAGAGAGTGTTTAGGAGGTTTACCAATATCTGTAAGTTACTTTGAACATTATATGAACTGATGAAAAAAAGGAAGAAGAGAGATCAAATTTAGGTGGTAGGAACAAAAATATTTACTGTCCAATTGTTTTAACTTTTCTGTATGTTTAAAAACTAATTATTACATGTAATATACTATGAAGTACAGAAATTGGTTAGAGAACATATAAAAGTAAAACAATGGCCTGATAGCATATTTAGGACATCATAAAAGAAAGCAGAACTATAAGTTACAGTAGTAATTTACAAAATATTTGTAATTTTCAAATGAGGAATTTAAGACTTACAAAAGTATATTTGGAAGAAGAGCAGCATTGGTGACTCACACCTGTAATCCTAGATAGAGACAGTCGAGCCAAGGAGCTCATGGGCATTACTCAGACCTAAATTCAAGCTCCAGGACCAGCGTGTGCACCTGCTCCTGCACGCATGCACGCGCGCACACACACACACACATACACTCACAATTTTTGAGTTGTTTTGCTTGTATTCTATTACTTACAATAATATGCCTTGTATGTAATTTTGTATGAGCATCATAAAAGTATATTTTGCAGCTGTTTTGCTTGTATTCTATTATTTACAGTAACATGCCTTGCATGTAATTTTGTATGAGACACAATACATAGCACTGGTATGACTAGTCCTTCCTCCTGAGCATCATCGGTAAGTAACGTAAGAACCAAAGTAAGAGAACTTGAAGGGACAACGCAACCTGACATGGAGTGATTTTTATCAATTCTTGACTTAATCAGTATATAATGCAATGTGAAGTGAATAATTATTTAGAAGCAATGAAAGTAGTGAATATAACTAAATAGTAGTAAATATAACTAAAAAGTGTAAAATACATACATGGTCTCCCATGAACTGACAAAGAATCCAACAGAAAATGAGGTAAAGGGTAAGATAAAAGATATAATAAATATAAAGAAAATCAGGTAAGAGCAGATATCTTAAATATATAGGATTTTTAACTTTCAAGTAGTCAGGAAATTACTTAAGATATTACCTTTTACTTGCTACATCTTCAAAAAATTACATAATTAACCTCCAATCCTCCAGGGTAGGAAAGAAGAGTATTGTCCTACATGACAATGTACATAACATTTTGTGTAAATAATCTGGCAGTATCAATTAAAACATGGTAAAACATGTGCCCTCTTTTTGACACACCAAATCTACTTTTAGGAGAGTGCGTTTTTAGAAGTAAGAACACAGAAATACATATTTAGTGCTTATTGAGGCATCCGTTATAAGAGCTAGACATAGGTAATAACCTAAATGTCTATCAAATGGTGTGTGGCTCTATTATGTATAACTATGAAAACAATAACCTTGAGCCACATGGATCATGCCAGGAAGAGGTCTACTATATATTGTTAAAGAAAGTAAAATTATGATTCCCTTTTGGGTATACTCCATTACTGGGCATATGTGTCTGTAGAAACAACAATATTGAAGGAGTCACACTAAACTGTTAATATTTCCTTAGGGAATAAGGACTAAAGGGCAAATAGGCATAGAGAAAATGACTCAATTTGATATTATGTTGTGTATTATTTTGCAATTTTAGAATGCAATAGTATTTTTCAAAAGAGAAACCAATTTTATAAAATAATTACAAATTATATTGTCACTAAATGATTGTCAATTGAACTAAATTGAACCCCTACTGTTAGTGCAAGTAACCATACACAGGGACCTTAACAAGAGAGCACAATATTACTTCCCAGATGCATGAGCATTTAAATTTGATTGTTTTGGCTTCAATCAACAGCTAAATAATTATAGGAAAATTATACATTGCCTGTCACTCAAAGCTCTGTTTCCTTTCTAAACAGGGAGAAAATAATACATTATACAAAACTGTTGTTATGATTAAATAATAACGAATGCAGGCATTTACTAAGTGGCTACCCAGGAATACCTATTAATTTTATTGTGTATCATTACTTGGTATAGAAACAGAGTAAATAACCGTGAAATGACATAGTTCTTTGTATCAGAATAGGGAAGGAGTTTGGTTGTTAAGAAAACAAAACAAAACATGGGATTAAAACTATAAACTAGACTCCAGAACTCAGCATATGCAATCAAATATTAACACAAAGTAAAAAGAAAAGAAATCTTGTGCATTGGAGCTTAAATGTTTAGGTATGAATTATCATGCATTAGGGTAGAGAATAAGAGTTGCCTCAGAAATTAACATTTTTAAGAATACAGAAATATATATATATATATATATATATATTCACTCACTATAATTCAAATAATCACTATATACTATTTATAAAATATTATGTATATTTAGGTAAGAATTATGTTTACCTTTTTATAGGATACAGATAAATGTTTAATGTGTTCCTTAAAATATGAATGTGAATTAAAAATAAGACAGAAGGGAAAAGACAAAAAAAGAAAGAATTATGCTAATAAACCCAAAATAATTTACAGGAACCATACTGTTAACTAAAAATTGTTCTTACTTGAAAGGGTTACAAAGCTGTCATCATATTCTGGTTGAGATGATGCTGAATGATGCTGACAGGCTGTCAAATCTGCAGATTCTAAAGCTCTAAAATGTGAAGAATATAACTTCAAATTTTAAAACATAAAGTTGATGTGAATAAGTTTAGCTCTACTACAAAAGTTTAAGAGTTCATTGAAATTGTTTATAATATTTTATTTTCAGAAATTGGTCTATAGCTTTCATTAGGTTATCTGAAAACTCCAAAGATATTCAAATGAAAAACCAAAATTTGCAAAGATACAGTAGTGAGACAATGAAATACTGCAAATAAGTTTGGCTTTTTATGGATGATATTCTGAGTTAGAAACATCTTTCTAGATTCAAGAAACTAAATCCTATTTTGCTACATATTATAATGTGAACAAAATTATGACCAAGTTAGTAAAACAGATGTTTAATTTCAAGGACAAACTGAAACAAATGAAACTCCGACATGTAGTTATTTCATTTCAATTTACAGAAAAGCATGTTTTCCATCTCTGAAAATATACACAGATTTTATTTTTTAAATTTCTGTAGCACCCTTGTGAAAATGGACAGCACTCTCAATAGCTACATCTCAAGAAAAAGGGACTTGAATAAACAGCAGGGTTTAAGATGCTATTTACTTTCTCAGCTCAACTAACAAAATGTTTTAATGAAAAAAAATGTTTTAAAATAGCTTACAAATTGTGACATGTGAAAATATATTTTGGAAACATGACTAAGTAGTTTTGGAATTCTAGATAGGTATTCAAGTTTTCCAACCTCTGGTAAAATCGATTATCATTGTTTATTTACTTTTAGAGTATGGCAGAGGGTAGAAGGGCATGAGTGTAAATTAGTGAATTTTAGTTGTTAAAAATCTTAGCTTGCTACTTTGACTCTATTACTAATAAGCTATTTGAACTTAAAAATCATTTGGTTTGTTTCATGTAACTTATCTATTAAAAAACATGGACACATGTCAAGGGCTTGCCTGGTTTGCTACCCAGCCAGGAAGGGTATAGGTCAGTGAAGGAAGGTAAAGGAGGCTTTGAGGATGACACAAGGAACCTACCTGAATCCCCCAAAAAACAGTATGATCTTGGAAATTCGTTTAACGAATACTTTCTTTGCAGTTTCAGATAGGTGCATAAAATGCTTACTTTTTCAGCTGTTCCACATCAGAATTACTTTCTGGCAAGATTCTGATTCCCCGGCCATAACTGGTACCTCCATGGAGATGAAACTCCAGACTTAGTGACGAAGGCTGGGTCTCTGAATTCACTGACTGGAGCTTGGTATGGAGGCTATAGATTCTGATAAAGCTTCCAACCTAAAAGCAAAGTGTTTATTATTTACAAATAGGTTTATATGGTAAGCACATGAGCGTTTATTTTATTATTTCTTTATTACTATGTTTCACTGTTAAATAAAATTTATAGGACAGACTGTTAGTTATTCTATAAACAAGTCTTAAAGATGAAAAAATTTGCTATTATCAGAAATTCCTTCTGGAGGCAGTGTTGTATTTTTTAAAACTTGCTGAATGTATTATGAAATGTACCCAATGATTAATTGTAAAAATGCAACGTTGTTTAGTTTTGTCAATAATGGAATATTTCAAAACAGAAGTAAAGAGATTATAAAAATTATAAAAGTGCAACTTAAAGATTTGAAAGTCTCTCTCAATATGGAAACACAAATATGTTGATTAAGAAATTACTATTCTCTTATTGTTTGTTTTTTGCTTTTGGCTTTTTTGTTTTTTTTTTTGTTTTTTTTTGCTGGTCCTTGGGCTTAAACTCAGAGACAGGGTGCTAACCCTGAGATTTTTTTGGTCAAGGCTAGTGCTCTATCACTTGAGTCACAGTTCCATTTCACCATTCCTTTAGAAATAATTGAAATGGGGGCTGGGAAGGTGGCTCAGTGGTAGAGCGCTTGCCATGCATGCATGAGGCCCCCCTGGGTTCGATTCCTCAGCACCACATAAGCAAAAAGAAAAAAAGCCAGAAGTGGCGCTGTGGCTCAAGTGGTAGAGCACTATCCTTGAGCTGAAGAGCTGAGGGACAGTGCCCAGGCCCAGAGTCCAGGCCCACGACTGGACCCCCCCCCCAAAAAAAAAATTGAAATGTTCTCCATCATTTATTAAGAATTTGTGTTTAGATACAATATTTTTAAATTGTTTTTCTCAAAATAGTCAAATTACTTACTGGATAACTAATATAAACATAATTATAACTATGTATGTTTTACAATTATTAAAAATAAAAGTCGTACCAGAATAGGACTGGCTATTTAACCATTTGTCTTCAGATTCTAGACAAAATTTGAAAGGTCAGTTTATGTCTTCATATTTGTGTAAAATGTTTTGGGAATGACACTATTTATAAAGCAAGATTTAGAAAACAGTTAAATGCAATTTAGATTGTAAAATAGGCGTTTTTTATATTGTATTTTATAATTGCATTATACCCTTTAAAAATATTTTTTACCTTGCTCTATGAGTTTGTCCTTTATGTAAACATATACACATATTTATAAAGGACAAGAAAGTATAATTATATCTTCCTGTGCCCTATTCTTAACTCAGAAAGTTGAGTTGTAATACAACAAAGAAGCAGAAATACTTTATCCAATGGGCATGAAATTGTAGATTTCAACTTTTCAAATAGTCTCTTAACTTTAAGTAGGCTAGAAGACAGAAACAGGGAAGCTTCAGTCATTAGTTGCACCAACTATTATCACAGGACAATTATATGTATATATGATATTCAGAAAACACTTTTCCAATTAAACATGTCCATTCCATGTTATAACTCTCATAACATGTTTTATAAGTTAAAACAAATTTTATAACTTAAAATTCAAGGAAAATAAACCTCAAGATAATTTCTAGTCTGTAGCTTTTTGTCACAAAATTACATTTGAACCAAAATATACCAAATGACCAAAAATATATTTTAAACACACACACACACACACACAAACACACACACAAAAGCAGTAATAGTGAACATTTTCCTATTCAACATCACCTTCAGGGATTTTGCCACTTGAACATGGTTATCATAGACTAAAATGTCTATTGTCAGATTCTGTAGACGATGTATTTGATTTAAGTCACCCTCAAGATCACGGGCTTGTATTAAGACTCTCCAAGATGGAAACGGTGTCCTCCTGCCATCCCACACCTACCAGAAAGAGAACAGAGCAAACTCAAGTATCTTTATGAAAAGAAATCAGTAGAAAACCATTCTACTTTTGGATAATACTACTTAAAATAAATAAGTGCTTTTAAATATCTGCAATACTTTACATGTGATATACATTATTTTCTGATTTTATAGACTAAATATGACCTATAGGTAACATGAAAAATGAACAATGTAGAAAAGTCACATTGTTGAACCCCAAGCATTAACTTTCTGATCTTACTCTTTTTCATCTGTTCAGATTCATAACATACATTTTTAAGTGTTTTCATATAAACTACTTTTCCATTCTGTTTTTTTTGTCTTTTTAGTTTACTAATGAGTTCTTTATCAGAAAACTTAAATATTATACTAAAGTATGATTTTTTAATTGATTCATATTTTATAAGCATAAACAATTTTTTAAAAATTTTATTTTATTGGGGCTGGGAAGTTGGCTCCGTGGTAGAGTGCTTGCCTTGCATGCCTGAGGCCCTGGGTTCGATTCCTCAGCACCACATAAGAAAAAAGCCGGAAGTGGCGCTGTGGCTCAAGTGGTAGAGCGCTAGCCTTGAGCTGAAGGACAGCTCCCAGGCCCACAGTTCAGGCCCCAGGACTGGACCCCCCAAAAAAAAAACCAAAAAAACAACAAAAACAAAAAAAAAATTATTTTATTGTAAAGATGCTATACAGAGAAGTTACAGTTACGTGAATAAGGTAATGAGTATATTTCTTGTTGAACGTTCTTACCCCCTCCTTTGTTCCTTTGGTTTTTTTCCCTACTATTCCTTCCCAACACTCCCCTACCCCCACCAAAGTTGTAAAGATCATTTCCAACATAGTGTCTTGTGAGTATCATTGTCATACTCTAAAACAAAGGCACAGGATAAACTAAATTTATATGAGCAATCTATTGGATTGATTCAATCTTTTTCTGTATTAAATGATTCAGGGACTAGAGATATAGCTTGTTGATAAGAAGCGCTTTCCTGGCATGTCATATGCAAGGGTCTTGGTTCAAGCCCCAGAACTACAAAAACAAGCAAAGAAATAAATCGGTAATTGCCATGTTGCAAATAAAGCCTTCCAAGAATCTTTGTTAACATTCTTAGAATACTTACCCTTATGTTGGAAATGTATCCTATAAGTCATTTTTTTCCTTGGTTTTCATTAGGAAAATCTTATAAAAGACACATACAGAAATGTTTCCTTTACATTAGTCTTGAAGAATATGAAAGAATGAAAATAGTGGGTGCTGGAAAAGGAAATAAATTCTGGGCTGGTATGTCAAACACATCTAGAAACATGAGCAGAGAGTGAGCAGCATTCTCTACTCTTTAAGGCTTCTTGACTGACTGAAAGATGATCAGAATAACAAGCATTTGGAAACTATCCATTGCCTACAAATGAGGAAGGCAGTCAGAGGGAGGAAAACTCAACATCAATGAATCGAGAAAGGGAGTAAAGTGACAAAGCAATTGACCTTGATAGGCAGGCAGAAATTTTCATATACGAAAGTCTAATGAAAAACATTAGGAAACAAGTCTGTTTATAATGTACCTTTAGAAGAAATGATGTCCCATCCACTTCTGCTTTGCCCAAGAGCTGACAAGTCAGGTCGAAATACTGCATTGGCTGAACATCACACAACTGTACTAAGGTTGAAGAAGGGGAAATATGTGTAGATGCCCAAACCCGTAAGGCTTCTACCACTTTGTGGTCTCCAGCTGTGAAGCTATAGCACTTGCTGGAAGTACGTGGTATGACAGGAGCTCCCAAAGTTCCCTCAAATGTCAGAGATGCAAACCCAGAGGTGTTGATACCCTGAGGCTCCATTTTGTATACTTGGATCTAAGAAAATAGGATATAGAAAAAATAATTTACTGATACCAAAATCCCAAAATAAAGAAACTTGGGACTTAAAAATTTTCAACTGTAATCAACAGTAATTAATTTTTTACATGAACAAAATACAAAATTTTATGTTTCAAAATGTATATTTTAGAGTAATTAATTCTTTACATGAACAAAATAAAAAATTTTATGTTTCTGAACATATTTTGTGTTTCTTAATTTGAAAAGGTTCTCTAGTTTATAAATTCTCAGGGAAATTCAAACTAAAATCACAATGAGATATTAACATACACAACAAAATACAGAAAATGCCAATATTGAAAATACCAAGAGTTGGTAAACTGTGGAACGTGTGAACTTCTCTTCTATGGCTACAAACAAGTACTCTTCTACAAACAAGTACTCTGAAAACTCAGGTAAGTATAAACACAACCTAGGCTCTAGCACTACAGCTGACAAAGCATAATGACTGAAATGTATATGCATACCTTCATCTATATTCACTAAAATGCATGTAATTAGATTGCTTATTACACTCTAACATTCAATTTGAGAACTACCTAAATATTGAAAAATAACAATATGAATATATATATATATATATATATATATACATACAGTATAATGAATTGTCACAATAGCATAATATTGAGCAATGAAAATAAAGAAAAGCTAAGCAAGCAAAACCATTATGTAATGATTGTAATGCCATATTGTATGAGTTTTGTCTTTTTTTCTTTCCGGTCATGGGGCCTGAACTCTAGGCCAGGGCACTGTCCCTCAGCTCATCACCTCATGGCTAGCGCTTTACCACTTGAGCCACAGCACCACTTTCGGCTTCTTCTGCTCATGTGGTACTGAGGAATTGAACCCAGGGCCTCGGGAATGTGAAGCAAGCACTCTACAACTGAGCTACCTTCCCAGCTCCTGTATGAGCTTTTTTAAAGAAAACAATCCACCAACCATATGCTGTATAATCCCTGCATAAAGGAAATATAAAGTACAAACACAGGTGAAACTGATATATAATGTTAGTGGTGACAGGATAATAGTTTCAGGGACTTGGGAAGCTGAAGTAAGAGGACTGCTTGAGTTGAAGATGTTGAGGCCAGTCTGGGCAACATAGCAAGATCTCTGTCTCAAAACATTAACCACAAAGAAGTCATGAGCTTATTGCTTCTGTCTTTTATCAAATTTTATATGGAAAACTTTTATATCATTAATTTAGATCTGAAAGTAAAAAGAAAGAATGGAACTAGTCTAAATGAGAGCCTTTAAAACATTTCTAGGAAAAGAGAACAGAACATTAATTTAAATGAAGAAGTATCCCATTATAAATTATTTGAGGTTAAATACTACTTACATTTCTTACCTCCTGATACAATATAATACAATACAATGCAACCATAATTAGTGTTAGCTAGCTTTAGTGAACAATATAGAAGTTTCTCCAAATATAAAAGTTCTGGTATGAACTATACCTTCAGCCTGTGGAAACGAACAATGTCTCCAATTTTATAAATTATTGGAAGGGCTTCATAGTTTCCACTAAAAAGAAGGCAAGTGAGCTTTACATTTGTCTGGTCCACAATTGTTACAACCGAACAATAATCTAGAAAATATAAAGATATTTATTTATCCTTGGTATTTCAATGCATTTGGTAAAATACGAATTTACTTATTTCACAATCTTAAAGTGTTATTCTTCCCTTTTTAAGTATGCCTAGGGGAAAAAAAAGAAAATCAGGCTTTTTTTGGTTCACAATATGTTTCATCTTTATCTAAATTAATTTTTGGAAATTTATAAATGTAAAATAAAAATTTACTTAAGTTTTCTGGGGAGGGAGTAACTTTTTATATTACTTCAAAATTTGTTGCTTATGAAGCAGATGAACATATTCAAAGAAAATATAACTCCTAAAATAAGTACAACTAAACTTCGAGTGAGTAGCAGTGTATGTTTCAGTGGCAGAATGTATGCCCAGCATGGCTGTGGTTCTGGGTTTGATTTCTATTTATACATTAGAGTAAGAGTATTTAAACTGGCTTTTTTTTTTTTTACTATAATGTGTTTCCAAAAAAGTAGAAATTTTGTTGGATGTGTCATGCCTCTAATCCTAGCTACTTAGGAAAGTGAGATCTGAAGCTGCAGTTTGAAGCCAACCTGGACAAGGAAGTCCCTAAGTCTCTTATCTCCAGTTAACTACCAAAAAGCCAAAGGAGAGCTGTAACCCAAGTGGTAGAGCACTAGCCATGTACAAAACATTCAGGGTCGATGCCCAGGTCCTGAGTTCAAGGCCCAGGACTGGGAAATATACACACATACACACAGACACTGACAAGAATACATGTAAAATTTTAAGTTGATAACAAATAAATATGGAGGGGTTACAGTTACATGAGCAAGGTAATGAGTACATTTCTTATCAAGCATTGTTGCCTCCTCCTTTGATTTTCCCCTATCTTCCCTCCCCCCTCCCAAAGTTGTAAAGTTCGTTTTTCAACCTAGTGTAATCCCTTAGTTTTTCTCCATTCACATTGTTTTCCAGTATAATTTAAAAATATTTAGTATATAAATGAATCTAAGAGTTGTTCTCCACTTAGTCCAACCTGTCAGAACCACTCATTGAGTATAGTATGTGAATAGGCACAACTCCTTCTTTCACAAGGATTACATTTTCCTTAGATTGACTTGTAGTCTCACAATCTTGATTCCATAATTTTAGCCTGCGTGCTATCTTATGCTAATATTTGCTAGTGTTCAGCATTTATATTCCCTGTATAGCTAATGATTCATCATGATAAATACAGAATTAATGATGCCGATGCCATTTTTTAGAATAAGAGGAAACTGACATTTAAATACTTGGTGAACATTATATAAAGTTCGCACATTTTAGAAAAGTGACAAAAATAAAGGTTTTCATAAACCTCACATCCAACTTACAGTTCATATTGTCAAGCTACAGACATTTCTAGCAATGTCCATGTTTAACCAAAGTGTCTGAAATTAAATTATCCTAAGAAGTTAGGTATTAGTAAAGTAAGGTAGAAGTCGAAATACAGTTTAGAATTATCAAATAAAAATTAGGTGAAAAATACATCTTACTAATATAAATAAGTATTTAAGATAAGCAAAGTATTTTATTACAAGAACATCAATAGGGGAAAATTGTATTACTAAGTGGTTAACAAACATTGAGGTTTCATGATATAGCAAATGGTATATTAAACAATTTATACACCTTGAATATTAGACAGTTATATACATCATAAACTATTGGGTTTAGCTTTGAAATAAGCTAATTTAATCTCTTAAAAAGGCAGGTAATATATTTAAACTCTATGTCCAACTCAAATGTCACCAGGATGCATATTTTTACAAACATAAATGATAATTCAAAAGGAAGTAAAACTGTACTCTTTTCATTGTGATTGAGGCCTGAGGGTTAGCTAAGCAAGTAAAATTATAGTGCACTTCAACTATAACATATGTATGTATTATTTCATGTATTTGTCTTGAAATAGTGTTCATTAATGAATAAACTACCCTTCTAATGAAGTTTCCTCTATTAATTTATTTCACAGAAACAGACACCACAGACATCACACAAAAAAATCTATTATAATTCATTGCTATGAAATGTACCTCTTTCTACACTCTGATTTCTTTTTCTAAGAATCAAAAAGGAGGTTAGCTTGTTCTTGTTTTTGAAGGAGCTTGAAGTGATCATTAAAGTATTGATTTAAGATTTCTCCAATTTGTTGTTGTAGGCACTCTGAGCTATAAATTTTCCTCTGAGTACTACCTTTGCTGTATCTCAGAGGAGCTGGTATTTTGTGTATATTTTGCAGCATTGTTTACCAGAGCCAAGATGTGGAATCAACCAGAATCCCCTCAGTGGACAACTGGATCAAGAAAATGTGGTATACATACACAGTGGAATTCAACTCATCCATCAGAAAGAACTATTTTGTGCCATTTGTAAGGAAATAGAAAGACTTGGGAAAAAAATATATTAAGCGAAGCAAGCCAGACTTAAAGAAACAGGTTGCATTGTTTTCCTCATTTGTAGTAACTAGGATATGCCTATAAATCTACAAGTAGACATACTAGATGGTAAAAGAAAAAAAATACTGAGACATGATAAATTATACAGGTGTCTAAGCATTCACACAAAGACCAAAGGAGGATATTCTTAGGAGATCACAAAGGCTCAATAGCTATGTGCATCTGATCATATAAAACAATATTTATCAAAATGAACTCCAGGAAATGGAAACTCTTTGGGAGAGTAAGGACACTATATTGAAAATGAACTATATAACTTGTGTGTATGGTGTGGAACTGGGAGAAAGTAAGGGAAGGGATTACATTGTTCAAAAAGAAATGCACCCTTTATTTGTAACTTTAATCCCTGTCATGTGTATATCACATTTACAATAACAATATATTTTTTAAGAATATATATATATATATTGATTTATTATTTGAATTCATATATATTCAAATATATTATTTGAAGAAGAGTTAAACACTAGAGGTATGACAAAGACACATGTGTAATTGTGAAATCACTTAGAAAAGAGTCAACTGAACTGTTAGTGGAAAGAAAAAGCAGGGGAGTGTTATAAATCAGGGATTGGTAAACTAAAACCTAGAGCTAAATCTCGACTGCTGCTGGCTTACTATCATTCCAAAGCCTTCAACTTAAGTATTCATAAACATTCATATTCATGTTTAAGTTACTCAATTAGATTAACAATCAAAAGAAGCAGCAAACAGATTTAGGAACAAACAAAACTGTCCAAATGCATTTATTCTACTAATACAGTTCCAATTCTTGGAGAAGTGAGCAGTTCCTAGGGCACTGAACAGTTCCTAAATGTGAGAGTTCAGGATGACAAAACATCAAATAACAAGGCTTTAGGGATTGGAAGAGGATGTTAAGGGAGTTTCTTATTTAAATAACTTACTGGTAGGCAGGTTACCAACATGTTACTAAAATAAATTATGTACATCAGGTGTATGACAAATGGTGTATGAGACCCTACAGATTATTTTTTCTGACAAGTAAACGTAACAGATTTCTGAAGGATGTTAAAGCTGAAGCAAGAAAGGACTTCTGGTTTAGTATTAAGTTTTTTCACCATTTAAAGAACATTCTAGCTGATTAATCATCATTACAAAATCAATGTATGTCTTTAACTACAGCAAATATAAAGTACTTGTAAAATTCTCCTCTGAAGTCTGTGGTAGTCAGTGAAAATCATTTCTTTGTGCCTCAGTTTCCCCATCTATAAAAGAGGACAACCGTATTCACCTCATAGGATGATTCTTATAATTCCAACAGTAGTTACATGCGCAATGCATCAAACAGTGCCTTGCATGGCTCAGTGCTACACTAAGTGCTGACAGGTAGTATCAGCAATAGCAGTCTGGACAGTATTCCACTACTCCTATATCCCTCTCCTCAAATAAAACTACAAGGGATTTTACAATCTTTCTGAACACAGTATCTGGTGTTGGAAACAACTTTGCCAAGATTCAGTGCCAGTTTGATTCGTATGCCAAGTTGGAGTATAAAACGGGACATATAGATTTAAAGGATTGTAAAGGAATTTCATGTGCATTTTTGCTGAATCTCCATTAATCTCTTTTAAATACAGTGTCATCAGCATCATAGAGAAGAATCTTATAGCTAACAAGATCTGGTCCTGAAATGAAAATTTACTTGGGACACAAAAAAGGTTTCTGAGAAAATGGAAGGTTGAAAATGATTAGCCTGTCTTACTTTATTCATGAAATAAAATGTCAAGGAGACAAAATAAGAAAACTCTAATGGAGCAAAAGGGACAAAAAGATTTGGTATCTCACTTAAAACAGAACAAATAAGCTTCACATTTAATATTGCTAAGGCAAGCTGCCTAAACATGTTTTATCTGATTCAATCTTTCTAAGGAAGTTAAATGCTAAACACTGCTCCCTCCAAACAAACAAATATACAATTCCCAGTTAAGATTTCATAATGTAAGAAAAAAAAATATTTCTTCAACCATACTTTATTTTATATTCTTTCTCAAAGGGAAACACAGAACTAGAGGTAATAATCTATTTTTTCAATAGCTAATATCATCAGGGAATATGGAAAGTGTAGGAAGAACACTGATAGATCGGCATTCTTCTATTACCTAACTAGTGTCTAGTCTCTATTATATATACGTACTTTAAACTGCTGATAAAATATTGACCTTAACGATTTTGCAATACTTCATACTAAGACTGCTGACTAAGAATTTAACTAGTTTAACTCTTTGGCAACACTTTGCATAGCTTGATAGGAATCTAAAAAAGATAACAAATTATAAATTAAGGTTGCTACTCTGTAATCTTGAGCAATTCACATAATTTCCTTAGTATGATTAAGTGTAAATTGCCTTAGCGATCCACTATAAAGAAAAGCTGGTAGTTCATTTAAGCAAGGTCTTTAATAAAAGAAACAGGCGCAAATAAATTATAATCCACAAAAATTCCTCCATGAAAGCTGTTGCTTCATCCTTTTTATCTGCAAGACTGCTTTTTTTAGACCAATCAGTATTTGAACAAGTCCC